AATTATAATAAATTCTAAAATGTCAACTTGATTAATTAAATTAATAAAACTAACATAAAAAACTAGGCTTTAAATAAATAAAAATGTAAGACAACAAATTTATTCAAGTTTAACAAATAAAAAGACAACATGATTATTTTAATATAATAATAATAAAAAAATACCCAAATATTACTTAAAATTTCTCAAAAACATATTTATTTAAGCGAATTTTTTCCACCTTAGTATATATAACTAAAAAGAATGTGTTCGAGTAAAAATTTAAAAATTAAATCCATGTTTCTGTCTATTTTACAGACCGCTGTCGTGTCCAGCGATTATCGCATTCAGTCGCCAGCATCTGGCTCACCGCTACCGCTGTGCAACACCGCCACCACCACCAATGCCGATGGCACCATCGCCGTACTACAGAACAACTCGAACGCAGTCAACACCAACTCCACAGCCGGCGGACCGAACACGGTGCTGCGCGTCATTGTCGAATCGCTGCTGTATCCAGTGTCGCTGGATATCTTGCATCAAATTTTCCAGCGTTTCGGCAAAGTGCTGAAAATCGTCACATTTACAAAGAATAATTCATTCCAGGTAAATATGCACAAAAGCGGTGATAAGCAAACAGTCATTTATAAAATACGTTCTTAAATACATGCATGCATGTATATGTGTGTGTGCAGTGGTTGCAAGTGAAAGGCGGCCGCTGTGAAGCATCATCATTTCACTTTATGTCAAACGACAAACAGCAACCACAGCGCGACAGCGTTCATAATTGATAAGCGCGCACATAAACACACAGGCACAAGCGAATTGAAATGTGTGTGTGTTTGTGCAAAAGTTCACATGCTCGCTTGCGCACCAAATCAAGCGTGCATGTGTGAATGCTTTAAACGAAATCTGTTTGTTATTCTTGTTGTTACGCGCTCATACGTCATACACTTTATGCTCGGCACACATACACACATACTTGCGCGGTGTGTTAATATAAATAAACATATAAATAAGCTTGTCGTCTCACACCCCCGCAAAAACGCTCTCAATTGCAGGCACTGATCCAGTATCCGGACGCCCATTCGGCCCAGCATGCCAAGAACATTTTGGACGGCCAGAACATCTATAATGGTTGCTGCACACTGCGCATCGACAACAGCAAATTGACAGCTTTGAATGTCAAATACAACAATGACAAATCGCGCGACTTCACAAATCCATCATTGCCACCGGGCGAGCCGGGCGCCGACATTATGCCCACCGCCGGCGGCTTGGTAAATGCCAATGACTTACTACTGATCGCGGCCCGACAGCGGCCATCCCTAACAGGTGATAAAATAGGTAACACTTTTACTTTTTCCGTTTTTCATTTTTTATCTTTCATTTAGCAGCTAAAGAAAAACAAAAACAAAAAATTAATTTTGTTGTATATCTTTCCTTTATTCTATCTAAGTTTGATATTATATCATTAATATACTTGAGCCGATCTGCTCTCGACTCTTTTTTAATGAAATCAGATTCGTTCACATTCGGCCGACTTTATTTGTTGTTTTTTATATATACGTTATTTTCTCTACTCTCTATTTGTCTACTCAGTTGCTCTCCTGCTGTCCAACGCTATCGCTGAGAATTATAAAATATTTTTATTAATAAATAGTGTTAATTACTCTTTAGTATTATATAACTTGAAACCAAAACTCCCAGTGTCAGTTCAGGTACAACTACGGACAATAACAGGGACATTACACCACTCACAACAGCAAAAAATACTTCAACATATATTACTATAATAAAAATTTTTGCACAACTAGGCGAATCGAGTTCTTCATGGAATGATAAACACGACAAAAGACACCTTAGTGATCTGTTAGGCTTTCAACATACACCCGCGATTAATGTGGTCAGTTTGATTGAAGTTCAAAATCAAAGGGTCCAATCCCCGACACATGTTCCTAATTTTTCGTCCCCTCCCACCCTTCGTCAGGAATGCCGATTTCAATTTGTTTTCCTAAAAAAGTTAAAAATCAAAATTACTACTTTGCAGTGAACGGACTCGGTGCTCCCGGCGTATTGCCGCCATTCGCACTCGGCATTGGCACACCACTCGCCGGCGGCTACAATAGCGGCATACCGAATTTGAGCGCCTTCGCGCTGGCCAACAGTGGTGCTCTACAAACAGCAACACCCGCTCTGCGCGGCTTCTCCAACGTGCTGCTGGTCTCGAATTTAAACGAAGAGGTAAGTCGCTGACACTGCAGTCTCATATATGTTTACATGCTGTAAGCTTACTATTTCATTTACTATCATGTAGACGTAAGTTTCTTTGGTTCCCAACAAAGAATATATGTATATATATCATCAAAACATTGTTTTTATATATTTTATAGGTTTTTATGAATAACTTATTTGTTGTTAGCGATTTAGCATCGTTTTAGTTCTTTCCTAGTTTTTAATGTTTTTTCTTTTTGTTTGTATTTAATATGCCTATGATCCCTTATATTTTGTTTTGTTCGTCTTATTTACTCCATTCGTAGGTTCGTTCGTTTTCGTTTATTTTCGTTTTGTTACACCTCATAACTGCTCGTTACTTATTCCCAAAATATGAAGTAAAGTAATTGGCAAATTTTCCAAGCTATATTTCCATAACATTTCGAACTACTTTCTAAATTTTACGCTCTCAATTATTTTATGTGTTATATAACCGATAAAATCGCCGTTTGCTAACCAAAAGTTTCACTAATTATTTTCAAATTTCAATTTTCCCGCAAGCAGCGCAAATTCTTTTCTTTACTCTGAAAGTAGATCGAGGAGAAAAGGATGACTTTTTCTTAAAATTTCAGTTGATTTTCATGATTTTTCTACTTTCAATTCCTTAGTTTCTCATCTCATCAACGACATATGCATAGATATCTAAATAGATTACTAGTGGTATCTTTTCCATATTTTCAACTTCCACTTCGATTTTACGCCAAGTACTATTTCTTACTGCAATTGAATCCTAAATATATACTACACTTGTTTTAATTGAATCCCAAATGTATACTACATTTTTTCCAGCTGTGAATCTGACAGTAATAACAAGCCGGCAATGAATAGTAAGGAAGGTCTTGCGTAAAAAATAAGATATTTGTTAAACAATAAAATAAAAATTTAATAAAAATCTCGCACTAAGAATTTACGAAATTTCACTTCAGCGAAAATCACCGTTCTATGCCGTGATTAAGTACATATAAGCCTTTAAAACAGCTTGTTTCCACAATTTGCTGAATTTTCAATTTTATTCATTAAAAAATGCCTGAAAAATAATATATACATTATATAAACGCAAGTTTGATCAACACTTGCCTTTTCAATTCCCCTTTGACCTCAATTCTCTCTCATCAAAACTTGTTCAGCTCATACTCTCTTCCATTCTCGCCGTCATATCAGTCGATTTGCTTTCTGAAAATTAGTGAATCTGCAAACATCAACAAGCATTTACAAACTCTACTTTTAATTTTTTTGTTTTACGTTTTACAAAAAAACAACTCTCGCTAACTGAAACTCTATTTTCTCTTTTTTCTGTAGATGGTCACGCCTGATGCTCTATTTACCCTCTTTGGTACGTCTGCACAAATATTATTAATTTTTATTATATTTACATAGTTGAAAAGAAAACAATGAATGAAAATCGTCTACTTACATTACATAATGCATCATTTATATTTTTCTTATGTGTTTTAAAAACAATTTTTGTTACCGCCTTATTTAATTGATACTCTCTACTGATAACTTATGACTATTTGAATGAACTCTTTCGTTATTTTCGTTTCGTTTATGTTAGAACATTTTTTAAGCTTTCTTTTGTAGATTATTCAAAATCATTTTTATTGCATAACACAGTATTATTTAGAATTATTTTTTTTTTAATTATTTAGAAAATTGTTTATTATTATTTAATTTTTATTAAAATATATTTAAAAAAAAATAATATAATTAATCAAATAACGTTTCACTTAGGAAATAGTTTTACGCAAATTTATAAAATTTAAAATTTTTAATTATATAGTAACATTGCACTTATGATTGATTTTAGGTACGCTATGTCGTAATCTAACTGAAACTCCAAATTTACCGTTGTTATATGTATGTTTATAAAATATATTGTCACCTAAAATACAACGCGATGTAACTTCACTTTTTATAAGTTAACAGGCAAAGGAGAACGATATAATAGAAACCAGTCTTATTGAAGCGATATTCAAGTTTTGGTTAAAAAATTGTTATAGATTGGTAACATACTGGATATATATTGGTTACATATTGGTTATATCTGACAGCAGCTGGTTAAAATTTTATGATACATATCTATAATATGATGTAGTGAATCGTAAGCAATAAAAAACTCAATTTCGACTTTAATACGTCGTTTTGCATTTCAGGTGACGATATGTTACTTTATAAGGGTATTTATTTTAGAATTCGAAATGTATGTATATGTATAAAATAAAGATATATAAATTAAGATTTATAAGAAATCCGACAACACGACCCAATTTCACAGTAGTCGCTGTCTATTTATGAATGTGTGGAGATGTTCTCAGTTGCCACAACTTCAAATTTTTTAAAACTAATGAGCTGTTTAAGGGGCTACTAGGATGCCGCAAGCAAAAGCCGGTCTATTTGCCAAAAATTTTGTCTAAAAAAAATTAGATATTTCATTCAAAACTTTTATTATTCCAAGTATACGTATTTTGAAAAGATTTTTTGGAATTTTCTAAGGCAAATATTAAAAATCCGAACATTACGAACTCTTTCTGGCAGTTCCTTAGAAAACAGGTGCCTCGGCATTAACAATAGAACAACTTACAGGATCAGCTGAAGTAAAAAGAAAAAAGTATGTGTTTTAGTTAAGATCATGAGCAAGATACCAGATTCCTCTTTCAAGATTCAAGGTTGAGTAACTAGAGAGAAATCTTAAAAACCAACCAAAACACAAGAGACGAGAAAAACGCATTTAGAGTTTTAAGTGACTATACAGCTGACCTCGAGTTCGCATCTTTTCAAGACTGTATCTCAAAAACTATTACACGAATAAACTTGAAAACTCATACCAATATTCAATAGATCTTACAAAGTTAAATAAGGCAATAATCGATTTTTATGATTATTTTGAAGCCTAAACTTTTCACGGCTCTATCTCCAAACTATTTCTCGTATCAACTTGAGCATTCATAATATGCTAGAACTCTTACTTCTTAAATGAACAATAAGAAAATCAATTTTTTGAATCCGTGAAACCCACTAACCGCTTAAAGAATTACTCCTAAGGAATCATATAAACGTGATTGCAATTTCAAGTTAACCACAATGCCATTGAACCACTAGAAACGTTATAAAGCCAAACTAATTAGCAGTAAGCTATAAATGTTGAAGAAGTTCCTACTAGGAGGCAGTAGACAATCTTCCCAACGCAATGCTCCCAACTAATTCACCAATTGTGAGTTCAGAAATATGCATAGGCAAAAGTATTGAAGTTCGGTGGCCCTTACACATTTTGAATAAATCAACTTGCTTCAGAAAGAGTACTTATATTTGGCAAATCACTCATGGTTGTTATGCTGTAGAAAATCTTAATGTGCTCTCCTCGTTGCTTTTTCTTCCTCTCTGTAATATGATTATTATATTGACACTTGTGGGTGCTTCGCCGAAAATCATGGCTTGTAGATTGAAGAGATTGATTGGCCCTCTCATGCACACATAGTTTTTATTTCAAATTACATTTTAAAACCTCAGCCTTACCTTTAAGCTAAGTTGGGTTAATCTTGTGTTTATATTAGGTAGCAGGTCATACTTCTATATGTAGTTTTCAGTAATGAGTTCTAGCATCCAATTTCCGTGTAAGAAATCCAAACAATTGTTATCAGATACTTAATAAGTCCACTTTAAGTTAGGTTAGGTTAATTTTGTAGGCCAACAAGCAACGCAAAGACCAACTTTATTCCTTTGCGATAACAGATAAAGTTTAGTTGTTAGATTCCTGTTAGAAATAGTCATCCTTTAGGATCACCGTTTTTGATGCGAATTTTAACAGGCTCTGCGGCCTCACTATCGATACATCCGCCAGTTTATCATACCTTGGGAACCCCAGATGCTTACAGCCTAGTCTTGGCAATGCGGGACATGTGCACAAGAGATGCTTTATTGTTTCCCTGCTCAAGACATTCCCCGCAGTCTTCTCAATATATCAGCACCATTCTACGAGCGTGTGTCGCCACCAGAGTAGTTCACTTTATCTAGAACTTTTAGTTTCATTTCAAAACTATCGGACGAGTTAAGTCAGATCGATAGAGAGCTTTATACTCCATCAGAATCCTTAATTATCTTTTTTGTTATCATTTCATGCCCCAAAAACCGACTTTTCCTCTAAATAAATTCATATTGCTTCAATCAACAAGGGTCCCTAACTAAATCATTTTCCATATATTGTAATAACTTCAAAAGCGCAAACACTCATTTATTGAGCGCTCCAAGAGTGTAGTATTACGCCAGCAACAATTTTGCATAGGTAGAAAGTTTTAGTGAAAATAGAACAATGCGAAATAATGAAAAAACTAATACCACTAGAGAACATAAAAGACAAATACTTTCATAAATTGTATCCACTACAGCGCTGAGGCAACAAAGTTTGCACGAACAGGAAACCAACTGCAGAAAACTAAAAAATTCAGTGGCAGCACACAGATGAGCTTGTTGCAAATACCAACGACAAATCCACAAATAAAGATGTGAAAAACGAAACAGAGAAGGCATACCGAAGGCAAATGATGAACTCCCACCGGACATGCACGGCCAGCAGCTAAGCAGTGCAACAGTTCGAACCGAAGGACAATGGGATAAATGCAAAATCGAATGGATTGTCGGAAGATAGAAATTCGAAAATGCTGTAAATAAATAAAGAAGCGGCAAGCGCACGCAAAGCGGCAGGCGCTCGACGATAAGGCGGACGAGCGCCGGGGCGAAAGAGACCACAGCAGCTTAAGCATAACACGATCAAGGTGAAGCAGGCGGAATAAAGTGAACAGATAAAGTGAATGCACGAAAAGGCAACGAGCTGGACCTCAGCTTAATGGATAGCACTTGGCATGGACGCTCGAAGCGCTTAGAGCAGATCGAAGAAAGCATACGCCAGGGCGACCAGACGAGCCATAAAGTAGTGGTGCCGAAAAAAAACCAAAAAATAGCAACAAAACGCTTAATACACTATGCATGCGGCCGACAAGGTAAAACAACACAGTGTTATTCACTACAAGCAGTTAACATGCGCGTTCTTGCCGCCGTCACCGCCGATGAAACGAGCCATAACGAAAAGCGCGCTTGCGGCGGACGGTGGCGCGCGGGCCAGTTGGAGTTGTTTATTTGAAAACAATTTAAATTCGTCTAACGAATTGTATTTGCGAATGAATAACAGCAGCAATGACAACAATAACAACCACAAAAGCTCGGCGCGCTACACGACTCCACGACTCCACAACTGCATGCGGCAAACGAGCAAATAAGTGAGTTTTAAAAATGCCGCAACAACAACAATGCGACAACAAAAGCAAGGAATTGCGCCCGAGGTGCCGGTTCTGCTGGGTGTGGGAAGTTCTGAACTCGTTAGAACGGACGGACGGCATCCAATTGAATGCGATAGTGGCGAGGCGGCGACGTGGCAGTGAGGCAGGAAATTGGGGCAGCAACTAACCGTAACGAAGCGTAGCAAATTCTATAAAGTTCCGTTACGCCGCCACCCGCTACACGTCACGGCGCCACATTTCGCTACGCAGTTGCTTCGACCATAGATGGAAGGGATGGGAGGTTTGGCATGCAACAATGACCAACGGTGGGCGGGCGGCGGTCCACGGCAACATGCCACCAGGTGCAAATGTGTAACGAATTTTCGTGTTTATAGGAAAAGTTTTGCCTTTTGCTTCGACAAGTGAGCGCAACGAAAAGTGCGAAAGAATAACAAAAGCACTAATGCGCTTAATTATGTGAGTGCTGTTCCGGCCGCACACACCCACGCACACACAGGCATACATTGCTGACGCTTAGCACTTTGGAAAGGAATTTCGTGCGGAATGAAGTAGGAAGAGAAACAAAAGAAAATAAAAAGCGTGAAATGCTTAGAAAAGGGGATTGCTGAAATTAGTTTTATTATTTTAAGCATAAAATGAAGTGAAAGTGAAAGTGGGAGTGGGAGCTGCTAATGGAAGGTCAGCGTAATGCAATAAAAGCTAACAAGATGAAAAAAATGTACCGTATTTCGTTGAAAAAACACGCACGCGCACACAGGACTAGCCAGGCGGCCGGCGCCTCACACCGCTATCGGCTAATGTAATGATTTTAAAGTGATTGAATTAATTGATTGAGTAATTCTCCTTAATTGCTTCTTTCGCTCTGCGGCAATCACATTAACTTGCAACATGCAACAACAGCGTTGTGCGCCTTGCTGCGTATGCTTCACTAGCTGCAATTGCCGCTCTTCCAATCACTTATTTCGCAATTATTTGGACTTGGAAAATGCGAGTGTTGAAAGTGAAAATCAAATAAAAGCATTTTTGGCACGATCTTTGACTT